GCGCTGCAGTGCTTCAGCGGGTCCTCCAAGTCCCTCGCGGACACCTTGATGCGGATGGGCGCCCAGCCGTCGCTGCCATCTGCAGCTTGCGTGGCGACGGTGTACGCCTGCATCGCGCCCTGCCCCTTCCGCGGCACCTCTCGCACCACCGCGGTCGCCGGCGCGACTCCCAACGCCGCCTCCCCAGACACGCAGCGGTGCCGCTGGGCGGGAACAGCGGCGAGGCATCTGCCGGCGCAGTGCACCGTCAGCAGCAGCAAAAGCGTCGCCACTGGGAGAAGTGGCATGCCGCGGCGTGGCCGGCACATGGCTCTAAGGAAGTGTGTGTGTGTGTGTGCGTGTATGTGGCTTGCGCTTGAGCAGCAGCAGCAGCAGGAGGGGAGGTGGTAGTCTGTCGGAGGGGGATAAAAAAAAAAGAAAAAACAAAGGAGCAAAATGCCGCAGAGAAACAACAAAACAATCAAACTCCTCCAACCCGCTGCGCAGCCGCCGTGCGGCCGGCGTCACTGTTTGACTCGCCACTCCTGCCGGACACCAACTGCGGCCGCCGGCCCGCCCGTTGCGCGTCTTGTCCCGGCCCCCGCACAGGTGTGTACGCCGCCACCCCCTGCAGCCTTGCGGCAGACGCCCGGCAGGCACACCCGCCGCGGCGATGTGCCCCCTCCAGCAGCCACAGCGTTGAGACCCGCTTCAATTCGATCCTCAGGCTTCCCCGGCGCCGAGACGTCACCGGCCTCCGCAGGTGCGTGCAACCCCGTCAGTGCGTGGGGCGGCGAGAGCGAGAGGCGCATCCACGTGGAGAAACGTCATTCTAACGCATGTCGTCGCTGCCCTTTTCAAGGACGGCCGCTCCGTTCTGCGTTGCTTTGTCCTGCCAGCTTTTCTTCTCCCTTTTTTCCCTCCACCGCCGCCACTTACAGCAGCGCGGCCTTCAGGAACGCGGGGCCCGCGCCAACTTGCGCCATCGCCTCCGCGGCGGCCTGCTGGGCGGCTGCGCCGAAAAGTCGCTCGTCGCGGCGTATCAGTCCCCCGAGCGCCGCCGCAAAGCCGTCGTGCTGCCGCTGCAGGTGCTGGGGCGGGAGGTACAGGCGGCGCTGCGGGGAGGCGCCGCGCGTCGCGGGGCCGAGCCTCTCCGCGTGATGGTTGCGGTGGCAGGCGTCGCCGGCCACAACGTCGTATACGAGGCGAACGGGGGCGTGGAGGTGCGCCATGCCGCAGAGCGAGTGCAGCTCCGCCGCCCGCAGCAGCAGCGCGCGCAGCTCCGCGGCGGAGGGCGACAGCCCCAACGCCTGCAGCGGAGCCTCGTCGCCCGCGTACGCCCCTGCCGCGCCGCGCTCGCCGCTGTGGCGGTTCAAGAAGGACGCCAGCCGGGCCACGTCGCCGAGACGCACAAGCGCGAGAATCTCCGCTGCCAGGGCCACCTCCCGCCCCTCGTGCGTCAGCGCCGCCCCACATTGACGGCAGACCGCCACAGAAAACCGCACCACCGCCTCCCAGTGCTCGTGCTCCACCATGCCCATGACGGGCACGGCAACTGTGACCTCGTTGTACGCGGCGAGGCCACTCCCCTCCGAGCCCGAAATGTTTTCAAGCTCCTTGAAGAGAGCAGCGGCCTCCTCCCACTTCCCTGCGCAGCCAAACGCGCGCAGGCAGTAGAGATGATTCATGAAACCGGCCTGCTCCGCCCCCGCAGCCTGAATCTCCTGCATCACCCGCAGCACAACGTCCCAGGAGCTGTGTTTCATCGCCACCACGTGCAAGTCCCGCAAGACCGGCGGGGGCGGAGCGACGTGCCCCCTTTCGTACAGCTGCAGGACCTCAAAGGCGCGTTGCCACGAAGCCGCATGCAGATTCAACAGCAGTTTCTCCGTAGAGGCCTCATCCGGGAAGACGTGGTACTCACTTATGATGGACTGCGCGGCGCCGAGGGCTATTTGCCAAGTGCGGCTAATCGAGATGCTTTGCAGTCCACTGAGGAAGCAGCGAAGGTGGGCGGCGGCAGCAACAAAGTCATGCTGCTCGGTGCACACCCGCAACAGTCGTAGTGCCAGCACCCATCGCTCCGCCGGGGAAGAATTGAGGATCGTGACGAGCAACTCCCGCTCCAGCGGGGACTGGCTGCTCGGGGGCGCCGGCTCGCTGCACTGGCACTGCTGCGAGTCCCCGAGACACAAGAAGATGCACTGCAGCAGCGCGCTAGGGACCCGCACGCCGCAGTCCCGTAAGGCGATGGCGACGTCAATGAAGAGCGGAAGTCCAATGAACCGCGCCTGCGCCTCTTGCTGTTGGTGCGACAAGGACGCGCAGAGAACCTCAACCGCGGAACGCATCGCCACGAGGCGCGCGTCAGCCGCATCTGACGGGTTGACGTTCCGCCGCGTGGCGGCCTTCCCTCCGGCCGCCGCCTCCGCCTCCGCCCGCAGCGCACGCAGCATCGCCAGCAGGAGGTCCATCTTCACGACCTTTTTCTCGTGCGGCAGGTGCGGCCGCAGGGCGAAGCATAACGAGGCGACGGCGTCCCACGCGACGCGCGGCCGCGGCCGGTTTTGCGCCGCGGCGGGTGCGGGCGTCGCGTGGGCCGCGTCATCCCCCCGCAGAAGCCACAGCACCAGCCGCGTCACCATCTCGACGCTCGTCTTGCGAAGGAACTGGAGGGCCGCCGTCGGCTCGCGGAGGGCACCGAGGAGAAACCCCGGGCACTCCCGCAGCGCCTCCTCCCACTGGCGCCCCGCCGACGACGACGAGGCAGAGGCAGAGGCGGAAGTGTTGAAGATGAGCCCGCGCAGCGCCTCCTCCGCGTTGAAGGGGGCCTCATCGCTCGTCGCGGGGACGCCGTCAGCCCCGCCTCGCCGCCCCGCCGGAAGGATCCCTTTGGACTTCCAGTTCATGACGCACTGCATCAACTCCTTGTACCGCCGCCGCCGCCGGAACTCCAGGAACAACTGACGCTGCACGGCCGCGTTGTGCCCCGCCGCCGCCGCCTCCTCCTCGACGTCCTTCGCGGCGGCGGCGGCGGAGTGGAGGGCCGCCCGTCGGCGTTGCGGCCGCGGCCGCTGCAGCGCAAACCCCAAACGCAGCAGCGCCTCATTCGACATCTCCGACAATTCCGTCGCCGTCTGCTGCTCCTCGCGTCGTGGCTCAAGTGACGCATGTGGCGGGTCTGCCAGCCCCATTGCGGTGATGAACGACTGCCGCTGCGGCTGTGGAAGGGCGTCCGCGACGAGGCGCGCCCGCCGTCGCTCGCCGCTCTTCGACAGAAGCGCACACACCTCCCGCAGCTCCGACAGCGAGGTGCTGCTCGCGGTGGTGCCTAACAGCGCCTGCACCTCCCGCCGGATGGCGGCGGCAGACAACACCGTGAATCGCTCGTACAGACTAACCACACGCGTGTAGGGCGGCATCGCTTTTTGCCGCACCTCCTCCCCTCTTTTCCTTGCGTCGTTTTTTTTTGTTGCTTTTTGCCGCAAACAGGGCCGCGGACGCACCTCAGCAACACGCACCCACACACCCGCACACACGAATGTATAAGGGTATAGGGAGAAAAGCATATGGAGGTGGGGGAGAACATTTACAAAAAAAAAAGGAGCGAGGGTGAGAGAGAAGGGCAGGCCCAGCGACGTTGTACGCCCGCCACGGCGCAAGAGGCAGAAGGCTTGTGCCGCAGGTGTAGAGAGGCCAATAAAGTTGAAGGCACGCCCGTGATCCACGGCAAACCTGCGTCCCTGCGACAGGGCTCACTCCGCTACATATTCGCTCCCTCTCCGCAGGTTCGGCGGCAGCACCGTGTCACAGGCACGGCTCAAATTCACACCCAATGAGCCCGCTCCCCTCCCAGCTCTTCGGCACCAGCAACAGCTCCACTACCGTCTCCGCCGCGCCACCCCGGCGCTTCACCCACACGCTAAGCGTCTTCCCCTCGTGGCTGCCCGTCACCCGCGCCATCTCGCCAAACCCACGCGCCGCCACCACCGCCGCATCCACCTCGCCGTACTGGAGAATGAGGTCTCCCGCGGTCAAGCCCGCCTGCGCACCAGGGCTGTCAGTGAGCGCCTTCACAACCCGAACAAAGGGCGGTTTTTTGGACATCTCATCTACCAGGCGCACTCGGCGCCTGCGTTCCACGGCGTCGGCTTTGCCTTTCCGCCGCGCCTCTTCGTCGCGTTCCATTTGTCGCTTCGCTTCCGCTTGACTTTCCTCGTGCAGCATGGCGAGCTTCTCGTGCATGGAGGCCTCCATTGCCTTGAGATCGTTCTGCCCGCAGCTCACCATCTGTCGGGCCCGGCGCACGGCGTACAAGTCGCAGTCGTCGCGCGGGAACCCCTCCGCATCGACGAGAGGGCCAGTTAAGCCCACCGGCGTTGTGCGGAGAAACTCCATTGCCTCCTCCACCTGCCTCATAAGCTCCGCCCGCTGCTCGTCCAACCGCAGCAGCTCCCCCCGCAACGGAGACGTCGAAGTGCTTGGCATGTTTGGATGTTTGCGTACACGCACCAAATAGGCTTTCCGGCGTCCTTTGCGTGCCTGTAGTATTACTCCCTTCCCTGCGAACTCGCGCAGGAGAGGAGTGGCGCCGTGCGGCACACAAAGAGCGAAGAAAAATGGTGTTTCCACCGGCAACGAGACGCCAGGTGGCACGAGAGCGACATAGAGAGATAGAGAGAGAAAAAAAAAAAAGTGGGCGGAACGAGGGAAAACCCATGGGTGTAGAGCTTACGCGTTGAAGGATTCGCGGTGGGCCAACTGCCCCTCTACAGAGGCGCTGGCGCGATCACACAAGGAGGCACCGCCCAGGCAGATCCCTGGAAAAAGGAGAGCAAAAGTTTTTATTTTTCCTTTCTAACAAAGCCCACACACACACACACACACACACACACACACACTTGCAGAGAGAGGGAGAGAGGGGAGGAGACAGGTGTGGAAAAGCGACACGAGGCATCCCACCTCGCCGTCGCCCCTGCCCCTAACCCAGACCCCGCTGCGCCTGCTTCCATGCGCCCAATACCACCACTGTCGGGAGTCGTCGTGCGCCGTATGTGGCGAGGGCTCCCGCCTGTTGCGGGCCTCACAGGCGATAGATGCTCTTCAAGATGGAGCCGTACTTCAACTGGAGCTCTTTCGATTTCGCCGCCTCGGCGTCCGTCACCTCGCGGAACACCGGCAACTGCTTGTGGTAATACAACATGGACTTAAGGGTCTGAGTCACGTGCATCGTGTGCGCAAGCCCGTCGCCGCCGTGCAGAGCCGCGGAGCGTTGCTCCGGTGGCACAAGCAGCGCCTCGGCGTCAGGGACGGGCTTGGCGAACGGGCCCACGCCTTCCCCATCAAACCGCAGCTCATCAAACCCAATGTCGTGGGTCGAGAGCATTGGCAGCGGCAGTAGTGTGCCGTCGTGGAAAAAGAGGTGGGATCCACCGATGTCGATGGCCTCCATCGAGGCGGGGGAGGTGCTGGCAGGCACCTTCGCACAGGCCGGCGTCCTCCCGCTGAGACCGCTGTCGTTGCTCCCCCCGTCCTCCCCATCACTGTCGGTGGAGGTGCGCTCCACGAAGGTCGCGCTTGAATTCGTCTCACCGTGCAGCCGCTCTGGACTCATCGCCTCCCGCTTGGCAAGCACCTCGTCAATGACGGCCTTCATCTGCTCCTTCGTCCCAATGTTCTCCGGCGCCACGAAGGGGTCGCTGAGCATCGCCGTCGCGGTGGGTCGCAGCCGGTAGTCTTTTGTCAACAGCCGCTTCAGGAAGAGGGCCATCTGCGGCGACCAGCGGTCCTTGTCGTGCAGGGTGGGCGGGTCCACCTTTGGGATCATGAAGAGCGCGCGGGCCGGGTGCGTGTCGATGTACGGCGGCGCCCCCTCCGCCATCTCAATCAGCGTGATGCCCAGACTCCACAGGTCCGCCTTCTCGTCGTAGTCGAGCTCAAGAATTGCCTCGGGCGACATCCACAGCAGCGTCCCGACAAACGTGTTGCGCCGGGAGAGGGAGTGGGACAGCTCCGTGCTGACGCCGAAGTCGGCCAGCTTCACGTCCCCGTCGCGGGTAAGCAAAATGTTGCCGCCTTTGATGTCGCGGTGGATCTTGCGGTTTGCGTGCAGGTACTGCAGCCCGAGCAGCACCTGGCGGCAGACGTAGGCGATGAGGGGCTCCGGCAGCGGGTGCCGCAGGACTTTGTAGACCATGTCCACCGACCCCCCCTCGCAGTACTCCATGACAATCCACAGCTTACTCAGCGACTTGTGGGCGCCGTAGTAGCGCACAATGTTTGGGTGCACGCACTTCTTCAGGATGCTGATCTCCTTCTGTACAAAGTCCCGCTCGTCCTTGTCGACGAGGAGGACGAGCTTGATCGCCGCAATCGCCTGCGTCTGCCGGTTGCGGGCCTTTATGACGGACCCGTAGTTGCCGACGCCGATCGGGCCGAGCTCCTCGTAGAGCTCCTCGGGCTCCATCTCGGAGATGAAGAGGTCATCGAGGACCTCGTCGTTGCTCATCGCGGCACACGCGCCCGCGCCGCAGCCCGCCCCGCTCCTCCTCCTCTTCGCCCCACTGCGAGAGACGCGGAAGCGGTGGAAGTCAAAACAAAAAAAAGTGACAAGGGGGGGGGGGAAGTAAAAAAAAAACGTGAAAAAGTAGCACATAAAGACACAGTAGTCAACGGGAGGGGAGGTGCAGGAGAACAACGTCCATCCACGCCGGGGCGGGAGGGGCCAATGCGGGTGGACGCAGCAGGGCCTGCGTGCGCAGGGGACTAGCGACAATTATTGTGAGACGAGGGGAACAATAATTTTTTTAAAAAGGGGGGTTGGAGGGGAGCAGCAACAGCGACCAAAAACAAACTCCTCACGTCTCAATCCGTGCGGGCCCGCTTGACCGGCAGCAGCCCATCCGCGTGGCGGCGCGCCCAAAACGCCTCCGGCAGGGTGAAGCTCACGCAGACCATGCGCTTCACGGGCGCCACGTCCCGCACCATGTGCACCGCCTCCAGACATTCCTTCGGCAGCGCGCAGGCCAACCACCGCTCCACCTGCGCGACGGCGTCGCCTAAAAAGTCCTCCGCGTGCTTTGAAAAGCAGTAGACGTGAAAAAGCACGCGCTTGTCGGGGAGTGGCGTCTCGCTTGCCGCCGCCTCCGCGTCTTCCGCGGCCCGCCCCGTCTCCTCCAATGGCGCTGAGGAGGGCGAGGCCGTCGGCGCGGACCACGGCGGTTTGGTGAATGCGTCCAAAAACTCCACCGCAATGGCTGGCAGATTCATCGTCACGTGGCGTCGGCCACGCGGCGGGGGCCCACGCATCACGTCGCGGTAGAGCACCGTATTCATGAACGCACGACCGTCCATGTTGAAGACGTGAAAGGCGTCCGCACCGACGTGGTTGAGCTCCGCGTTGATGCGCAAATACTCCGCCGCCACGGGGTTCAGGTCATTCGCATAGACCGTCACGCCAGCCACGGCGGCGGGCACGGCGAAGGGCCCAACTCCCGCCATGACGTCGTAGAGGACATCGCCTCTCTGCATCAGGTCCACCACCCGTGCATGCTCGTGGCAGAGGCGCGAGTTCCAATACACGCGGTCGTACGGAACGCGAAAGACGCAGCCGTGCTGCCGCACGGTCGCCAGCAGCAGGCTGTGCAGCTTCTCCTCGTCGTCGTCATCCTCGTGCCCCGCAGTGGGGTTTTCCTCCGTCGCGGTTCCCTGCGCGTCGGCGGGGGTGGCGCGCCGCGCGATGACTTCCATCTTGAACTCGCGAAAGACGCTGGCGATGCTGTCCACCTTGTTCACCACGACGCGCACGGTGGGGTTGCAGTCCAGAATGACGGCGCCGATGTCCGCGCGGTGCGGCAGGTGGGCGGGGGAGAGGTTGACGTGCGCGATGTGGCCCACCTGCTCGAAGCCGCTGAGCTGGACGGTCCCCGGCGGAAGGATCTGCCGCAGCAGCTCCGGCATCGTGTAGTTTTTGTAGCCCAGTCGCACGACGTGGGGAGCCACCACCGCGAGCCGCAGCCGCTCCGCGACGGACGGTTTGCTCTGCAGAAGCGTCCGCAGCCGCTCCCGCACGACCACCGGCAGAGATGCGTCGTGCGCCTCCACCCAGCGCGGCGGCGCTGCTGCGGCCGCAGACGCCGCGGCGGACGGGGGAGGGATGCGCTGGGGGTCCAGCAGCAGCAGCTTGTGGGCGGCGCCGCCCGCGGAGGGCTGCGGGGCGTCCGTCACATTCCGCACCCCGCGCATGTCGTAGAGGCAGCCACGCAGCGCCCGCAGCACCTCCCCGAGGAGGTCGACGGGCCTCACGAGCAGCGCCACCACCTCCACGGACGCCTCCACGCGTGCGCGGTACGCCGGCGGCGCGTCACACCCCATCGGTACTTTTCCCTTTCGTCGCGATGCGCTGCTTCACGAGGCGTTGCGAAGAGAAAAAAAGCAACAGAAGCGGGAAGGAGCGAGAGGGGACTGTCATGCACGCACCACGCGCTGCCTATCGCCCCATGCACTCACCCAGTTAGGTGCATGGGCGAGGCGGCGCTCCCAGCGGGGGGGCCATTGAGGCGCAGTTTTCACAACGAGCGGGGAGGGAGAATAAAAAGAGAGAAAAAAATAAATAAAATAAAATGAAAATAAAAATAAAAAACGGGCACCTCGACGGCTCCTTGCGCCAAACCAGAGAGACAAAACACGCACACACACATAAGCGGCGCGCCCGAAGGTGTCCCTATAAAACGAAGAGGGAAGAGACGAGCGAAGGCGACGCTTTTTGAGGGGAGCGCTTGCATACAGGAGAGGAGCGAAGTCTAATAGAAACAGAACCACACACGCACATATATATACACCACAGAGAGGGAGAGAGAAACAAAGAAGAAAAAAGAAAAAAAAAGGAAAACAAAAACAAAAGGAGTTAGTGGTGGAGGAGAGCGTATGTGGGCAGCAGGGTCCACGCGTCGTCTCTTTCGCCCTCAGCGTACATCAGAACCAAGAGGTCAGAGTCTACAAGATAAGTAATGCAAAAGCCAAACATTTAACCGGATGCCGCGACGGAGAGACGTGGCGTGCAGGGGGATTCTACCGACGCCCATCTCGCCGCCCCTGCGGCCTTCCACGCTAATTCCATCCCTCCCCCCGACGTGTGCCGTGGGCGGCACTCAGTCAACTCTCCAGGGGAAGGGACGAGCAGGTGTTGGGGGAAAGCCGGCGAGCACGCGCACGGGAAAAATGAAACTTCACCCTCCACACACTCTCACACACACACACCACTTTCATTCCCTTCACGTAATTCTCCTCTAGTTTTTTTCTCTTTTGTTTGTTATCCCTTTTCCATTTCATTTTTGTTTGCTCGTCTATTCCGGCCCCTTTCACGTGCACCCACCGTGAAGCCGACGTCGCACACGCGCAGCTACCTATCCGCCGCAGCCCAACACTCCGTGCGAGGAGGGAGGGTGAGTGAATGGCGTGTGCAGAAGCACACAGGCGCCCGCGTCTGCACTTCCGCTGCGCCCTTCCGCTGCGAGTGAGTGTTGCTCTCATGCGGTGGGCGGCGGTGCCCCGCGTCACTTGGCGCATAAAGAGGCGCTCTCCGGACCGGAGACGGAGAGTCCTCTGGAGAACGACGACCGCCACGCGGTGGTGGGGCGGCAGCCGACGGCGTCTGTCAATTCCCTCGCACTGAGCAACGACCGTGACCTCACAGCCTTGCAGGTGGAGAGTATCTGCCGGAGCAGCGCGAGGGCCTTCTTGTGCACCTCGTGGGTGCTCTCCAGTGTGGCGTCGGGGCCGTAGCTGGGCGGGATGCACCTCATAAAGTCCGTCAGCTGCACCACCGCGTCGTCCAGGAACTGCATGCTCTTCGCGTCCGCGCGGCTCTGCTGCCGTACACGCTGGCACGCCTGCTCCACGCTGAGGGAGAAGGCGTCGAGGAAGTCGTGCATGGCGTCCACGGAACGCCCCTCCGAGAAGGCGTCCTGCTGCTGCGCCAGCTCCGTAGCGGCGCTGGGGCCACTCACCGCAGTACTGACGGTATTACAACTAGCCGTCCGTTCCCGCTGCCGCTCCTGCTGCGAAAGAATTTGCTCGTGTGCAACGCCACAGCGATACTGCGGCGTTGGCAAGGCAGCACTGCTGAAACGGCGTCTACCAGTGCTGGAGCGAACAAGCCGCACGGCATCTTGACCCGTCGAGGGGCGCCGCTGCGCAATTGAACCACGGCGCGTCGCCGTCGACGGGCAGGACATCTCTCGCTGCAATGACCCTGCAAACGACTTCGGCGCTGAGTGCAGCTGTCTTGTGCGACGTGCGAGTGGCGTACACTGGGGCTCAGCATGATTCGCGGGCCGGGGCCTGATGCCCGTCGCGTCCCACTGTTGCGGGGATCCCGTCACGCAGTACCGTGAGACGGGATGCGGTGCCGCCTGCCCCTGTCGCGAGGCACCCAACTCAGCCGCGGAGCTCACAGCCGCTGCCGCGCGGCAGCTCTCCTTAGGCTTCTCCAAGCCCTCGGCACGAGGTACGGAGTCGGCGTCCGTGGCGACCGCGCGGGAGGGGCCGCGCGGCGACGCCGACCGCAAGGGCACTCGCGGCGCGCTGACTTTGTGTCCCACCACGCGCCGCCGTCCCGCGAAGGCGATTCCCGCGTTGCCCCCGTTCAGTAGCTTAGGCGCGTACACGACGATTGGCTTCCTCGGCAACGCGTGTGCCTCCTCCGCCGCCCCCGGCGAGTTTTCGCCCCTCGGCTGCGCCACGGGGGTACTGCGGGGTTCACTCGCACGGCCCTGGCAGGGGCGGAGCGGGAGAGTGGGCTGCTGCTGCTCCCCCTCTGGGCGACGTTCCCCGCCGCTCCGCTCTCCGCCCAGAGCCTCCTCGCAGCTGCGGCCGGCGCCCGCCGCCGTTGGTGACCCGCCGCTTTCCAGCCCCGCCTCAACCGCCGCCCCCGCTCCCGCGCCCGCGCGTTGTGGTTCGCCGCTCATGGGCGACCCCGTTTGTAGCACGCCGTCCTGCGCCTCCGTCGCACGCCGCGGCATAGTGGCGGATCCGCTTCGCCTCGCTGCTGCTGCCGCTGCCGCCGCTGCCGCCGCTGCCGCCGACGACGACGGTGAGTCAGTGCACGACCTCGCACGACGAGAGCCGCCGCATGCAAAATCGACGCGGGCAGCCTCCATCGGGGCCTCTGCCGCCGCTGCGGCGCACGCCTCGCCCGCGCCACGGAGGCAACCCGCCGACGGCGTCTCAGTAAGTTCCGAGGCGTTGCCAGCAAAAATGGCTCGCAGAACGTTGAGTACAGGAATCACGCAGAGGCCGGCGCCGCACAGTGTCTTGTAGATCAGCCCGACGGGGTCGCCCTTTTGGGTGAAGTCGCGCCCACGATCGGCGCTACTGCCGCGGCAACGACCACCAGCATCGTGAAAGCTGTAAATGCCGCCGCTAGTGCTGCCTAACGGGGACCCTGTTGTTCCTTTGACGCCGCTGCCTTTGCCAGGGGAACGGCGCTGGGCGCCCGGCGTGGCGCTGAGTCTGGCAAACGTGTCATCACTCACC